CTTGTCTTTACTCAGTGTCCTCAGGCATACAGTTTCTACAGGCTGCTCTCTCTCCCCACAGCTGCTCTGCAGCAGTTTGTGCTTTGCCCTCCTGATTTCAGGATGGACTCCCAGCAGTGCCTCCAGCACATTCACACCGTGAGGCAGTGGCAGATTGCCAGGCATTGGGATGGGCTGGTGGTCACCTGTGGGGCAGAACAACCCTGTCTGTTTTAGAACATATGTCAGAACACACTGGGGTCTTCAGTGCAGGCCAGAGTTGCCAGGAAGGCCACAGGCTAAATCCTGGTCTTGTTGCATGGGCTGTGCTTGTTCCCAAAGAAGCCCTGCTTTTCTACCTGTGGTAGAACAGGTTTGATGCTTTGTACCCTTTGTGAGAGAGGAGAATCCAGCCCTTGAGGGAAGAGGTGTCACACAGAGCAGCAGAGTCTGCACGGTGAAATCCTCTTGTGTGGAGAAGTCACAGGCACAGTGTAAGTGTGTTTCATTCTAAAGGTATCATCTGCACACAAGGAGCTGCATCTGACAGATCTCCTGCAGGAAGCTGGCCCCATTTGGGGATAACCCCACAGCTTAGTCTCCTTGCTTGTAAGCCAGAGACATTAAAGATTTAAAACACTGTTTGATGAGACTTAGTTCCCTGAAATGTCACTTTCCTGCACAGAATCCTAGCATCTTCCAAGTGCACCCTGGGATGTTGTGGTGTTGGCCACAGAGTTGCCTGTGCCTCAGATCTGTTTATATGAACCCTTAGGGAGCCCCACTACAAAAAGCAAAGCAGCCTGTGTGTTCTCACTGGTATAAGCTTTGTGCAGTGTTGTCCCTGGGCTCTTCATTCTCAGAGGTGCCCATGGGTTCTGTTTTGTTTTTTTCAGCATGCAGGAGTCTATTTTGGCCCAGGTGCAGAGAGTCATTAAAGGAGAGGTGAGCCTGGCCATGAAGGAGCAGCAGGCAGCTGTCACCTCCAGCATTGTCCAGGCCATGCGCTCGGCAGCTGGGACACCCATCCCCTCCACTCACATGGACTTCCAGTCCCAGCAGACTCACATCCTTCAGCTGCTCCAGCAGGGACACCTCAACCAGGCTTTCCAGCAGGTACCCAGTTTTCCTAGTAGTCATCCACTGCTTGTTGGGGACTGAGAGGGCAAAAAGGGCTCCTTGGGGTGGGCACGTGATCTCACAACAGCTTACACAGGAGTTGACTGAAAAGACCTGTGGCAGTGGAGTGCTTGAGGGGTGCAGTTGTTCTCATGCAGGTGGAGCCAGAGCCATGCAGGTTCCATGATTTGGTAGCAGTTGAGTTCCTTCATCCCTGCCCATGTCCTGCCAGGACAGTGTCAGTGCTCCAGTGTGTTCTGCTGGACTGCCAGTGTGTTGTGAAGCTGTGTGTGCCACGTTGGCACTGACACGTGGCACACACAGCTTCGTAAGCCTCTCCAAGCACATCCACCAGCTGGGGCCTGACCTTGCCTTTGACTTTGAGCATGCAGGCAGATCCCTTTGAGCTGCTGCAGACAAACTCTTCTGGGAGTGATAGCAGTGCTGGCCCTGCTCCATGCTGCTGACAGTAACCTGCTCCCCTCTGTGTGTTGTGCTCTGTTCAGCTTGGAACAGACACAGGTGTCCTCAGAGCATAGAGCAAGAGCCTTAAGGTGGCCCTGCTGGCCTGTACAGCAGAAGTGCAGAGATTTTTGCTCCCAGAGGAGGCTCTTGAGCCACTGAGCATCCCAGAGCTGTCACTCTGTCCTGTGTTCCTCACCTGCCTGTTGGTTCCTGTGCATTTCTAGCTGTGTCTTCCTTGCAGGCTCTAACAGCAGCTGATCTCAACCTGGTTCTCTATGTCTGTGAGACTGTGGATACTCAGCAAGTATTTGGACAGCATCCATGCCCACTGTCCCAGCCTGTGCTGCTCTCCCTCATTCAGCAGCTCTCCTCAGATCTGGGCACTCGTACAGAACTGAAGCTGAAGTGAGTATGACCAGAGAACTGGGTCCTGTTCTTAGCCCTAGCTTTAAATTCAGTGCCTAGAAGTGGAAGGTAGAACTTTGACAAAAGTTGGAGTTTCAGTAGCCTGTTACTGGCATGTTTAAAGCCAGTGTAACTCAGAAAAACATGTCAGCACTGCCACAGAAAGCTTTGCTGCCCTGAGGTCGTAGTGGAAGGAGAACCCAGCAGTAGGTGCTGGTACCTCTGGAATTGTAGCCTGTAAATATTTGCAGCCTGTGCAGCAATCCTCATTCCCCAAGGAATGATTTCCTTGTGGAGGCAAAAGAAGGGACAGTGCCATGTCCCCTGGACAGTACAGTGTCCAGGACAAGTTTGCTCTGTCCTCAACTCCTAACCCATCACTGGACTTTGTGTCAGCAGTTTATTGTCGTGACTGTCAGAAAGGCTCAGTGGGAGGCTGCAGCAGGAGCTACTGGTATAATTTGTGGTAGATGTTCCAAGCAAAGCTTCTGTGACAAAATAGTGACTGTACTGATACTTGCCATGAACATTTTTAGTGTCTGAGTCAAAACCCTGCTATCTGCCCTTAAAAGCTGAATTGTTAAGGTACCTACAGGTTTTGACTATGGCTGGTATGGAAAAATTACTTAAATTGAGTTTTTAACTTGATAAGCAAGCTAGAAAAACTGAAAAGACCTTCAAGGTATAGGCTAGTAATTGGGGTTAAAGCTGCTGCTATAAAGTTTAAACTGGATTGTTTTTGAAAACCTGCAGTGACCACATTGCCTTACTCAGGCTGTGGTTTAAAAGCTGATGGCTCATCTGAACTTCAGAGCATCTTGTTGGTAAAAGTTTTGCTCTTATCCCACCCCTTCCTGGATGGATTTTATTGTAACCCTACACAAACTGAGCCTCACTGCTGAGGGATTTTACTCTCTAATGAGTGACTAATTCTGTTAAAAGTTATTTAAGAAAATATCTACTGAGAGTCACTTCCAGCACTGGGGGGAGTTCTCACTGGCTGCTGCCTCTGCCTTGGTTCCAGCAGCCAGGTTGTGGGGCAGGTGGGCAGGCTGGGAGCTGTAGACTGACCTCACATGTTTAGGAAGGGATAGGTGGACTCTGCTATGAGTCAGGAACATTGATTTCGTGACAGCTGAACATACTGCAGAGTTTGGGTGGAGCAGGGAACAAAACTGCATCTTCAGCACTAACACGAACTGAATGGGGTTGGGATCATATTCTGGGTTTGGACCTAACCTCGCTCTCTCTCCTTCAGCTACTTGGAGGATGCAGTGATGCACCTTGACCAAAGCGACCCCATCACCCGAGACCACATGGGGTCAGTCATGAACCAGGTGCGGCAGAAGCTCTTCCAGTTCCTGCAGGTGGAACCCCACAACCCTCTGAGCAAGCCTGCGCGTCGCCTCATGATCATGCTGCAGGGCCTGGTCACCCCTGGCATGACCTAGGAGCAGCTGCCTGCCTGCCTGGGGGGCTGCTCCACCCGAGCCCACCCTGCAGATCTGTAGTTACTGACGGCGCCTGGCTGGTGTCGAGAGCTCTTGCCAGGAAATCATCGACGCGCGTGTGATGTCTCTAAGGCGAACACCATCTGTGTATAGTTCCAAATAGTCACTGAACATTCACTTGGCTTATTTTTCCTAAATAGCCTCTTTTTTGAGAGTTAAATCTCTTCTTCACCTGTCCATCCGTCCCCAAGGCTGGCTGGCAGCCCGTGTCTCGTGCAGCAGAAGCCGATGGATTCCTTGCCCCTTTAAAAGTTTGGATCGGCACAGGAGCAGCGAGGTGTGCGCTGAGCCCAGGGGCTGCTCCTCGCTGGCCACAAACCTGTACCCACACCTTAGGGAAGGGCTCAAACCCCTCCTCCCTGGCAGGCTGCAGGCACAGGGAGGAGGTCAGCTGAGCGAGAGGGGTTAGATAGAATTCATTAATTAGTTAGTTGCTCCGCGGTTTGTTAATTCCAGATCCACAGCGGAGTGCCCGGCCCACCTGGCACATGAGGCAGGTTTGGGCAGGGCTGATACCTCTGGAGTGCCCCGGGGAGGGGCTCTGGGTCAGGGTGCTGAGGCAGCAGCAAACTGCAGGAGCCCTGGGGGGCCACGGTTCTGTTGTGCATTGGAGCATGTCCATGTTTCAGACATTAGTTTTGATTTTACACAGAGGTTTTTCTTTTTATCTAAATTTTGAAGTTTTGGGGGGTTTTGTTGTTCTTTTTTTTTTCTTTTTTGTTTTTTTTTTTTTTTTTGAAATAACATTGAGAACAATTCAATAAAAAACTTTTTGAGAAAAAAGGTGTGGAGACCTTCTTCTGTTGTGTGATGGAGGAAAGACTGAGGGATCTTTTAGTATGTCATACTATCTCCAGGCTGGAGCCTGAGGTGATGGGCCACCATCACCTCTCTCTTTCCAGATTTTTTCCTGAGTCTGTGCTCAAGCTTTTCTGTGTGAGTCCAGCAGGGCATAGTGGTCTCTGCTTCCTGGGAGGGGCAGGAGGTGATGGCTGCGGGAAGAGGACATTAATTCCCCTTTTCACAGCAAAAATGTCTCTGGCTGCTCCTCCTTCCTGGAGGAAGAGAAGGCTCTGGGAAGACCTCACAGCACCTTCCCAATACATACAGGAGCTCCAATAGAAGGGCTTTGGACAAGGGCATAGAGTGACAGGGCAAGGGTGAATGGCTTCACACTGATAGAGGGCGGGATTAGATTGGATATTAGGAAAAATTTCTTCCCTGTGAGGACAGTGGGCCGCAGGTTGCCCAGAGAAGCTGCGGATGCCCCATCCCTGGAAGCGTTCACAAGACCGGGTTGCACAGGGCTGGATGGGTCCCTGCCGGGTTGGACCGAGATGGTTTGCACGGTCCCGTCCAACCCAAACCATTCTGTGATTCCGCGAACTGAAAGGGCCGGGGTCCAGCCCCGGCGCTCTCCGCCCCTCGGGGGCCGGCGGGGCGGGCCGGGGGCCGGGCCGGGGCGGTGCCGGCGGGCCGGGGGCGGGCGGCGGGGCCGGGGCTGCCGGCGGCGGCGGGCGCGGAGCACTCGGCGGCGGCGGCGCGGGGTCCGCACCATGGGCGGCGGCTGCTGGCGGCTGCTGGGCGTCCTGAGCCCGCTGCTCCTGCACCTCGGTGAGTGCCGCGGGACCGCTCCGGGCCGGGCTGGGGACCGACACCCCGGGCTCTCCCCGCCGGGCTGGGGGCGGGCGGGTGGCAGCGGGACCCCGGCCGCGTCCCGCTCCCTCTGTAGCTGCGGGGAGCGGCGTGCCCGGTTGCCCCTCGGCCGAGCGATCCATCCACTCCTGTTCCGTGTCTGAGAGGCCGGGCAAGGAGGAACGCGGCTCCGCGGCGCTGTCCGGGGTGGCTCTGCTCAGGCGGGGACGGTTCCCGAGCTCCGGCTCTCCAGCCCTGCGTGCCCACCCCAGCACCCGCTGGCTTTCCCGGCTGCCCTCGTTCAGCGGGGCCGGAGCCATCCTGATCGCTGGGGAATGTCACCCGGCAGGTCCTGCGCCTCGCTGGCACCAGCGTGTCCCCTCCGCACTCCCGCTCCTCCGAGCGCCGAGAGGATGCGGAGCGCAGTGGTACCCAGGGACATCCCTGCTCTGAGGAGAGATGGGGAGCCTGGGATTAACCTGGTCCGGCTGCACGGACGATGAAGGACAGGGACCACCAAACCCTTGGTGGATTTTAGGCTCAGAGGGTGGGAGACTCCAGCCCTTCCCCAGGAGCAGGATGGCTGCACTCGCTGGGGAGCTCGGGATGCTCTGCAGCGCCCTGGGAAACTTCCCCCGTGCTTTCCCCTTGGGCTTTCTCCCTGACGGAGCCGGGGGCAGGTTTTTCCACACGGTTTTGCAGCAGAGCAGCGGAGATGATTTGCTCTCCTGCTTTCTCCTTGTTTGCTCGCCCTGCCCAGCCTCGTGCCGAGGGAGCTGAGCAGAAGGAAAGGCTTGTGCCGGACCTTAGAGGAGTCCGGGAGGGGAAACCCCAGCCTGCAGCAGGGAGAGGCTGAAGGGAGGTTTCATCTGGCCCTGCCAGCTGCTGGGTCCTCGGGCTGGTGGGAGGCAGGCTTGTGCCTGGCTGGGTGAAAAGAGGAGCAGTGGATCCCACGTTCTCTACTGATACCTGCGATGTTTGTGACCCACGTGTCTGGCATCAGTCCGAGGCTTTTCTCGGTGCTGTGCTCAGGGGGTTCTCATTGCAAACACCTAAAATGCCCTGTGATCATATCAGGTTCACCCTGGTGTTAATCTCAACCACAGCCACTTTGCTCAGGACCCTGTTCCAGGGGTGCAGGTGTGGGGTGCTAACAGCAAGGCACACAGCTTCCTGGAGACATCCTGGCTGCCTCAGCAGTCACCAGGAAACTTTCAGCTGTTTCTGGGGTTACCTTTCCACAGGGGTCCCCTGCAGGGCTCTCCTCAATTAGAAACCTCCCTGGTGCACACCCTTGTCACTTCCAAAACTCTGTAACTCCTGTGAATTGGCACAGGTACCCCACATCTTCCGGCCTACAGAATCTCTGGGGCAGAGCTGAGGACCCTGAAGGTTTTTCTGTGACCCAGTCACACACCAGCTCCTTTTGGGCTTCCCACTGGTTGTGGATGCACTGGCAGTCCTCATGAACACACCTGTCACCATTGTCCCATGTCCAGCACCAGGGTTTGGCCAGTGCCAGTGGGGAATCGTTTGTGGAGCAGAGCAGGGGCTTCTCAGAATGGAGCAGCCCAGACCTGCACTTGTGCCTTTTCCTTTTGTACTTTTTCTTCCTCTTTCTCTCCCCCACTTCCCCTCCCTGTTTTCCCTTTCCCTTTTCTCTTTATCCTTTCCTGTTCATCTTTCCCCTCCCATCTTTCTCTTCCCCCTTCCCCTTCCCACCTTTCTTCTTCCCTTCCTTTTCCACTTTCCTTTTTCCTTTCCCCTTCCCCTTCTCTTTCCCTTTCCCCCTTCCCTTTCTCTTTCTCCTTCCCCTTTCCCTTCCTCTTTCTCTTCCCCACTTTCCCTTTCTCTTTCCCCTTCCCCTTTGTTTCCCCCTTTCCCTCTCTTTCCCACTGCAGTCAGAGCAGGGACTCCAGCTTGCTGAGCCTTTGCTTTGTTTTTTTCCGTTGTAGTCACAAATTAATCTTTGCTGTCAGGGGATAAAGGCCGGGACAGATGGCTCTGGGGAGAGCCCCGAGGTGAACGGCAGCATCGCTGCGGGGCCGTCACATCGCGCCGGGCCCCCGGGCCGGGAGTGAGGGGTCACTACAGTGCCCAGGGAGGGGATGGCGCTGTCCGGGGGGATGTGGAAGCCTCTCGGCGCATTTCAGAGCCCGGTGTCACCCCCGGCCGGTGACACGGTCACGCTCACCCCTGAGCCGAGGGCTGTCGGGGCTGTCGGGGCTCGGCGGGGGCTCAGCTCGGTGTCTCCTCTCTGTGCCCCGCAGCCGCGAGCCAGGAGCCCGTCAGCATGGCGGGACAGTGCGACACCATCTACAAGGGCTTCGCCGAATGCCTGCTGAGCCTGGGGGAGAGCATGGCCCAGAGCGTCCGGCAGCAGCAGCAGGAGGAGGGCGGCGACGAGGCGCAGGAGCTGGACGCCATCTGCAAGTGAGTGTCCGTGTGGGAGCCGCTGGGACGGTGGGGTCACCGCCGCCAGCACCGCCCCGACCGCCGCCCTCCTCCGCAGGTCCTGGGATGATTTCCACACCTGTGCCAGCGAGGTGCTGTCGCGGTGCCCCGTGGAAGCGGCCACCGTGTGGGAGTCGCTGCGCCAGGAGTCCCGCAAGATCCAGTTCCAGGGGAACCTGCAGGAGCTGTGCAGCGCCCGGGGCCGCCTGGCCGGCGCCCAGAGCTCGCCGGCCTCCGAGACCAACCAGGCCACGCTGCGGGGCTCGGCCGCCGCCCTGCACCCTCACCCTCACCCGCTGGCCCTGCTGGCCCTGCTGGCCCTGCTGGCGCTGCTGCCCCGGCTGTAGCCCCGCTCGCCCTCGGGTGCCCAGGTGATGCCGGCTCCGTTCCCCCGGCTGCCCGCCGGTCCCCGCCTCCCTCCCGGGCATCCCTCGCGGGGCACGGTCACTCCTGCAGCACTTCAGATGGATTTATATTTATATTAAAAGACACTTTTACATTTCTCCTGTCTCTCTGCCATGGGATGCCCCTTGAGACCCTCCCAAGCTCTCTGTTTGCTCTGGGGACTGGAGAGGAGATGCTCCTTGCACCAGCCCCCAGGAAGGGTCAGTGGGAGGGTCTGTGACTCCATTCCTCCAGTATATTGCCCATGGCCACTCCAGGTAGTCCATGGGACCATGGACAGCCCCAGGAGGGGACAATTCCCACTGGTGCTCCCTGGCTGCTGCTTTTCAGGGCTGGGCATAGCAGATATTCCCTTTAGAGGTGGGTCAAATGCTTTATTCATTTTAAAGGGCACCTCAGGAAAACACAGGGTGCAGATTTCTTTGTCTTTTTGGCAGCCAATATCTTGTCCTCTGATGGGCAACTCCAGTGACATTTTCTGTTTTCCACTCTTTTTATTTTGGTCTTGCTGTATTCATGGTCATGAAGAAAAGTATGGATTGCAGGGAAGAGAGAGATTCTTGTTTTTCATACCAAGCTGATGGAGGTAAAAAAGCTGGGGAACTGGAAATCTCATCCAGGTTCATAGAGAACTTGAAGTTAAACCAAGATGATTTGTGGGTGTTTAACTTGGCTAAACTTGTATCTATGAGTGGAAGATGCTCTAATTCCCATCCCTGTCACTGTTATGTGAAAAGTTAGGATAGTTTTCCCAGCTACCAAAGCCCATAGTGCAAAGCAGCTCCCCTAGACCTGGGCTGGTGAGGCGTCCTCCTCACTCTCCTGGGCAGAGCCTTCACTCCCCACCCATCACCTAAAGGGCCACAGGAATTGCAAATGGGCCACCCCAGCTGGGGCACAGGTCAGGAGCTCCTTGCTGGTGTGGCCCCCAGCAGCACTGGTGGGTACCTCTGACTGTGGAAGTCTGGTGGGTAAATCTGGCTGGCGTGTGGGAAACCATCCCACTTGGAAAAGGCAACAAAATCCACCACAAGCACCATCGCTCTGAGGATCGCTCCAGGCTCAGCAGAGAACAGGAGCCGTGAGCTCCTATGTGCTGTGGGTAGCAAGTTGCTGCTGTTTCTGTGATTTCCATGACTTCAAGGCTGTCCCAAAAACATTCCAGCAGCTGGTTTTGGCCTGGAGAAGCTTTTGCCACACTGTTCTGTGGCTGAAAGCCTTCAGCATGTGAGCGAGGATCTCGGTAATCACTGTCCTCATCGAGCCAGGGAAAAATATGGCTTGTTTCATCATAAAACCTTTTCCTGAGAGGTCTGGTAACTTAAACAGGTGATTGGTCACCTCTGGGATGTCACCCTGGCTGTCCCAGTCCTCTGCCAGGCTCTGGGTCCAGGAAACACCAACAGGATTGCTGGTTCATCCCATGGGGCTGAGTAGTTCCTGCCGATCCCTCAGCTCTGTGGGGGGCTCTGTGTTTATTTCCCGTTATTTATCTCACTAGCCAGCCTGGAGCTGGCCGGGGGGAACACAAAACATCTGGGGGAAGATGCTGATCCCGGGCCGGTGCCCCATGGGACACGGGGCAGGACACCACCCCAGCTCTCCTCACGCAGCAGCTGCCGCTCCCCGTGTTTAACGCCAGCGCCGGGGGGATAATCCGCCGGTTCTTCCCTTCCCCGCTCCTGACAATCCTGTGTTTAAGGGTGAATTAGTGGCGGATCCCGGCAGGGTGGCTAAGAGGATCAACGCCAGCCGGGCGCCGGCCGCCACCTCCGAGCGGAGGGAGCGCAGCGGGGCAGGGGGAGCTGGCCGGGGACGTGTCACCAACGTGGTGCTGTGACAGGCTGCCACCGCCATGGTGACACTTGCAGACAACAAAATGCTGCTTCAATCCAGCCGGAATCAAAGCCTGAGATAATCCACCCACACCCACAAGGTGTTTCACCCTGTGCGCAGAAAGACACACCACAGAAGGTGCCATATCCTGGAAAATGTCACTGTACAGGTCACAGAACCCTTGCCTATGTCACCACGTGTCCTGAGCACCAGCACTTGTCACCACACGTGGCTCACACCTTTGGCTGCGCTTCCATGTGTCTTGCAGCTGAAAGGTGTCACAGTGCAGGCACTGGTGGCTCTGGGAAGCCAGGGCTGGGATTTGGGCGTGCTGGAAAAGTGTGGGTCACCACTGCTTGGTGACACTGCACATGCAAGAGTCCACAGCAAGGCACTGCCCAAACCCCACCTGTGACCCCAATCCTCCTTCAGGGAGTGTCTGCAGGGCCAAGGGCAGCAGTGTGACAGCAAGGGTGGGCATGCTGACCCCAGGAAAGCTCTCTGGTGCTCCACGCTGGGACATTGAGCCAGTGTCGCCTTTCCATTGGGTCTGAGGGTTTGGGACAGCCCTGCAGCTGTGTCCTGCTGTGGGAAGGGACAACATCCTTGTTCCTGTCCCCAGAACACAGAACTGGCTCCCTGCACAGTGACAGCATTTTAAAGGAACTGTGCAGGCTGAAAGGAGCGGGTGGTGGGGAATGAGAGTGGGGACCCCGGCACCGGGAGTCTTTGGAGCACCGTGCTGTGGAAACCCCTTGTCCTGGTTATGAAACTCCGGTGACCTACTTTACACTCCCTGCTTTTGTTCTTAATTCCCAGATATGGCCGCCCTCCAGATTTTGCCCATCAAGGCAAATTAATTGGAGTAGATCCTAATTTGCTCTCTGCTATTCTTTGGGCAGAAGATTAAATGCTCTGCAGACATTATCTCCCTCTCTCTTCTCTAAGAGACAAACCTGAATTAATAAAAAAAGAAGAAAAAAAGGGATAAAGGCCAGCTGAGTCCAGCTGAGTTGATGTTTGAATTCACTTTTTGCAATCGCAGAAGGAGCCAGGGAGGCTCTCGTTTCCCTGGGCAGCTGGAACCAGATGGTGACACTATTCTAGGTGGCTGTGTGAGTGAGACAGCACACGTGGCACAGTGACACGAGGGCCAGCTTCCCACCATGCTGCCCAATGCCTCTGCCACACGATGGCTGAACACTCCATTCCTTCACCCAGGGAAATTCCTGCTGAATGATGGCTGAACCCTCCATTCCTTCACCCAGGGAAATTCCTCCTGGTGAAGGTGCCGGCTGGGGAACCTCCTCATCTGTGGGGCACACTTGGGTTTCTCTAACTGGATAGACTGGTGTGGAGGCCACCAGCAGAGGGGGGATGGCTCCTTGCCCTTTCATGGCTCCAGTACCACTGTGCCAGTCTGGCATCCCCAGCCAGGCACCAGTTTTGCCACCTCCACTTCACTGGCACCCTGTGGGGAGCAGGAGCATTGGAAAACAAACATAGCCTGGAGGACACAATGTCACCGGGCTGGCCAGTGTCCGAGTTTGCATAGGGATTTCTGCTAAGCCAAATGTGCAACTTTCCATAAGGAACCACCAAAAGACAGCCTCAATCCCCGTGGATGGGAGCAGTGGGAACAGCTGAGCCGGAGTCACCTCTGCCGTGGGGATGTGCTCAGACCCCACCTGGCACCCCATCTGTGCTCTGCTTTGGGGCTGTTTCATTCTCCAGAGAGGCATATGGAAAGTTGGATTTCTTTTTAAGCAGCTTTAATTGAACATCCTCCCATTACGACCTCTGCTCAGCCTTGCTGGGACAACCTTGAGCTCTGGCCTGGCGTGGCTGCTGAGGGCTGGGCTGGCTGCCACACAGGGCAGAGATGCAGCTCAGAGGAAATCCAGGTTTCCATCCATTTCCATCCATTTGGTGGCAGATGAGGGGCCCTGTTCTCCTGGCTTCCTATGGCCTGGCACAGCAGGAAGCCCTGGGATCCCCAAATTGCCCCATGCTCAGGATGTGCAGCAATGTCCCAGGCAGCTTTGTGGTGCTGGGGGAGGGGGATGTTGGAGGTGCTTCCAGCCATTCCCACCATTCCACAGGGAATTACAGCTTGTTGCACCCCAGCGAGACTCTGGCAGCACCACGGGCAGGTGTGGGATGCAAAGGGAGCTCTGAAGTTCCTGTTCCAAGCAGGGTTAGTGCTGGTGCTGGAGGCAGCTCTGGAGCACCTCCAGGGAGAGAGGATCCTCCACCTGTGGGTAGCCAGCATCGCCCCGCTGGTCCCAGCCTGCCTTTAGCAGCTCCCACAGCAGAAGCCCTGAAGAAGCCACTGACAGGAGATACAAATCCCATCCTTGCAGAGGGATGAGGGCTCTCAGGAGGGAGCAGACATGCTGCAGGACCAGGGCAGCACTACCAGTATCCCTGGAAGTGTTCAAGGATTGAGCTCTGAGCAACCTGGTCTGGTGGAAGCTGTCCCTCCCATGGCAGGGAGTTTGGAACTGGGTGACCTTTAAAGGTCCCTTCCAACACAACCCATCCCAGGATTCCGTGACTCTTCACAGACATTCCTGCCTCAAGGGCTGAATCCTTCCCAGGGGGCTGGGGGCAGGCTGTAGGTCTTGGCCATCAGAGCTGGCAGGGGATTTCTGAAGGGGATTTCTGAAGGGGTCAGCACAGAAGAGCACAAGGAGACTTCTCTCCAGGGAGAGCAGCATCTTGGAAAGGAAAAGGAAAAAAAAAAAAATGACAAGGAGACAACAGCTCGTTTGGCAGGAAAACCTGCTGTTAGACCCTGCCCAAGCACAGCACTGCTTTGTGAGTGTGTCAGAAACCTGTTACCAGTCCCCTCTTGGAGGAGGGAGAAAAAACCCCAATGTTTTTTGGCTGGAGCAGTGGTGGTGGGAGCCCAGACACCCAGAGCCTGGCAGGATGAGTGCCTGCAGAGCCTCTCAGTGCTCAGAGCTTCAGCAGCAAAGTGCTTATCCCAGTCAGAAATCTTCCTGCTGTGGCTGCAGGCAGGGCTCTAGATGGAATAACAGGCATCAGGAATCAACAGGCAATGACCCCAAAGTCAAACCAGGTGCCTGACCTGGCAGGGAGTGGATCACACGATGAACAGACAGTTCCCTGCCTCAGCCCTGGGTGCTTTGCCAGGAGGATGTTGGCTTTGTGCAGATGTCTGGTGTGAAGCTGTCTTGGCTCCAGTGGGTCTCAGAGCACCACCACAGCATAAATAATACAAGAGCTGCTCTGATTGAGGTTCTCAGAAGTCCCCAGTTCTGGCCCAAGGGTTCAATGCCTGTTGGCTCTTTGATATTTTTCAGCGGTGATGGACCCGGAACAGCCTCATCCAGTGCTCCCACGAGGCTGGTCAGGAAACAAAGCTGTGAGGAAGTGACTAATGGAAGCTGCATCCCCTGAGGGAAACAAATCCTTGCTGAGCACTTTCCCCTGTGTGAGCTCCCCGGCCAAGGTGAGGCAGCCCACTGCCCTACATCCATCAGCCAGGATGACAGAGAGGAACGCGCTGGTGGAACCAAGCTGGGATGACCTTGAAAAACAGCCTAAAATAACAGGATCAGCTTAAACAGGGGCACGTGCAAGGTTTCACATGTCAGACACAGGTTAAGCCACCTCTCAGGGACAGTGTGAGGGATGTGTGGCTGGGAAAGCATCTCCATAAAGAAAGTTGGAGGGATTAGAAGGCTGAAACCCTACCAGCAGCACCATTACTGTGTGGGACAACAAGTTTTTCTTGCAGAGAACTGCACAACTCACCCAATCCATCAATTCCAGCCCAGGCAGCCCCTTCTCAACCCTAACACATTTCTACACCTTGTTGGGAATTACACAGAGAAGCAGCTGATGACAATAACGTGCATCAGCAGGTACAACTTTTACTACATTATGACTTACTAACCATTCTAAAGCAGCCGAAGATCCCAGGAGCATTAAAATAAACCCGGCTATTTTTAAAAGCATGGTAGGAGTGTGAAAAGAGCCCGGCTCCACCTGAGCCGCCTCGGGAATGACGTGACAGCCAGGCTGGAAAACAAACCCGGCAGCATTGCGTTTGTGTGCCCCCAAGGGAAAGGAGTGCCGTCAGCATCCCTGCAGGTGTCATCCCTCTCTCCCTGCTTTCAGGTCATCCAGGGCCGGGACTCGCAGTGTTTCGCTTGAGGATGAGGAAAGGATATAAGGAAGAAAGTCCACAGGCAGTTACCAAGCAAACTTTGCGGGTTTTGTGGCACTTAGTAGCTGGGGCAAAGAAAGGAGAAAGGAATGCGCCTCGTTATTCTGCTGTGCACAAGGGCTGTCCCACAGGGAGTGGGTTTTCCCTGCCAAGGAAAAGCGCCGATGTTTCCGGGCAATTCTTTCTCAAAGGGAATGTTTTTCCCGAGTCCCGCAGCGCAGCGGGGAGCCCTCGGAGCTGCTCCATGGGCTGCGGGCTCCAAGGCGCTGCTGGGGAGCTCTCAGAGCTGGATCTGGCTCCAAAGAGGAGAAACTGCGGCCGCTCTTCGAGGCAGGAGCACGGGGAGAGGGAACACTGCCCCTGCCAGGGGCCGCCGGCTCAGCCCACGGGGTCACAGTGGTGCAAAATGCAGATTATGCCAGTGTTACCCTAAGGCAGGATGTTCTTTGGTGTAAGAGCTTTGTACGCTTTCAAACCTAATCAGCAAAAAAAGGAGAGGTAATCGCTGGAACAGGCAGCAGACAATACCTGTCACTCAAGAATATTCTGGAACTAACAAGATTTAGGGATGTAATAAACTTAGATGTTGATGTTTGCCTATGTAAACATTGCCAGCTTGGTGAAATACTCAAAGTCCGTGTATCTAAGAGCTGAGCTATCTTCATGGTAACAGTAAAATTCATGTGATGGGTCAAAAAGACCCATAGGTGAAGGTCCTTCCCTGAGCATGAGTAGAAATTACCTGGATTAAGTTACTTGATTCCTATGGAAATTACTATGGTTAGTAATCTATTAAGATTACTAAGCAATCTTAATAGAGGGGCTGTCCTTGGGAAGTCACTAACCCTGAACTTCTTTGTGTAAATAACGGCACAGAAAGCCTGGTGGGGTGTGCTGGATTTGTGGAACAGCGCTGAGCACCCAGGGTCGGGCAGCTCTGAAATAAACAATCAGCATCTCTCTGGAGTGTGTCATTATCGGCTGGGTGCACACCAAGGAACGAGCTCGATTTTGTGGGTAACAGCAGGGCCAGAGCAGTGAGGGGGGCCCTGGGGTCCATGGCGGTGAGGAGCTCTAGGGGCCCGCGGGGCTGAGGGGTCCTGGGGCTGAGGAGTCCGGGGTGGGGCTGGGGGGTCCCAGAGCCCTGAGGGGTCCTAGGCGGGACTGAGGGGCTGCTGTGAAGCCCCGAGCCCCTCACGCCCCCGGAGCCCCTCACGCCCCCGGAGCCCCTCAGGCCGCCGGAGCCGCGGGCGGTCCCGGGCGGCCCCGGGCTCTGGGCGGTCCCGGGCGGCCCCGGCAGGGGGCGGTAAAGCGCCCCCGCCCTCCCCGCTCCTCGACCCCGCCCCCCGCCCCCTCCGCCAATCGCCGCGCGCGATGTCCCCGCCCCTGGCGTCCCCGGCGCGCGCTGATGACGTCAGGAGGCGGTGCCGCGCCGCGGCCGGAGTGGGCCGAGGTGAGTCCGGGATCGGCGCCCCCGGGACCGCCCGGCCCGGCTCCGGCTCCGGTCCCGGCTCCCCTCCCTTTCCCTCTCTCTATCACTCCGGGGGCGGCGGTGGTGCGGCCTGGGAAGCGCAGGCGCGGCGGGTCCCGGTGTCTCAGCCCTGCCGCTGTCTGGAGCGCTGGGCCGCGGGGCCGGGCGGGCCGGGGAGGGAGCCCTGCCCGCTCCCGGTGTCCCCTCAGCGGGACGGGCCCGGTGCTTCCCAGGCTGGAGCCGAACCTGCCGCGGGAGGAGCTCCCGGCACCGGCCCGGTCCTGAGTCCCCTTTCCAGTATAGCCACAAGCGGGCTGGGCTGGGATGAGTTTGGAAACAAACGGGTTTGGGATCCCGGCTGGTTTGGCTGATTCTGGCCCTGACTCCGGCAGCAGCCCCAGCCCCGGGTTTCCCCTCCGAAATGCACCAGGAGCTCGCAGTGGGCATGCCAGGTTCTGCCAGGTTCTGCCAGGTTCTGCCAGGCAGTGAGAGGCACGCTCGAGATGCGTTATTGACCCGGCAGGCGAGGAGCTCAGTGTCTGAGGGGAGAACCATAAACCCCGTGTTCCTTCCCACCCATTCCTGTAGTTCAGATAGTTTGCCACCTGCCAAGTATGTGATTTCCCACTCAGAGTGCTTGTAATGCTTGCAATTTGCTTTAGTTCCTTTCCCCACGTTCTCGGTGGTTACTGCACAGGAGCATGTCCTGCACTGACGGGGAGTTAAGCATTTTGTTGCTGACTCTGGTTCTGTGGCCTTCACTGGAACACTCAAGTGTCAGCATGTACTGACATGCTGAAGTTGCTGCCTGATCTCAGTTAATGCCATGAGTGGATTTATAGATTATATTTTCAAGTGATTCATTCTTCTGTTTGGTTTTAGTTGTGGGTGGGATGTTTTACACAAGTCCTTCTCTACATGTTGAATTACTCTGTAATAATCTTGTTTATGGATGCTCTCATTCCATTTCTCTGTTAACTTAAAATGCTTTAAGGTTCAATAATGGTGGGAAAGCTGTCCATGGGAGGCATTATTCAGGACAGGCCAGAGCTCTTAATTTTTTTATTATGATGCTTTAATCTGAATGAAGCCCCACCTCCAGGGCAGGGCTTGGTAGAAATCAGCTGAGCTTTCTGAAGTTGTTTTTCATTTCTACTGCCTGCACCCTACTACAGGCATGGCTGGGTTGTTTGACCTCAGGGTGCTGCCAGGAGGAAACTTCTCCCTTGAGAAGTTACTTTGATGATGTTTGATTATAAAACTGAATCTTAACTAAAGCCTGGTTTTCTTTCCAGGTTGGATGAAGAGCCTCAACTTCTTCCGGGTGTCCCTTTAAAACATTTCTTATTTCTCCACTTCCTTCTCCCCATGGAAGACAGGCTGGGGTTCCTTTTTTGCTGTTCATGCTGAGCAGTTGCTTGGAGAGGTGGTGCTTGAGTGGAGATACACCTGGTGATGGTAAGACCTAAAATCACATTTTCAAGGCTAATGGGTTTCTGACACATGTTGATGGGCTCTGAGTCAAAAAGGGCAAATGTAGAAGTGCCCAGTGACTGCCAGAGCCACAGGTGGTTTCCCCATTTCCTGATATTGTTTTAATCAGCTCATAAAGACTTGCCCAGGTGCAGCTGGTTTGGTTTTGTTGGGGTAAGCAAGAGCTCCTAGTCTGGAACAGCTGGGAGGAATTCCACTTCTTACAGGCAGTTCCAGTGGAAGGCCAGAGGCGCCACTTTGTGCCTAAAGATGTAAAACAAAGCAAAATTGAGATTGTTGAAAGATGTGAAAACCCATCTTGATTTCTCAGGGTTTGGAGGAGGAGAGATTTGCTGACTAAAAGCTGCTCTGGGCAAGTGAATATCTCCCTTTTAGCAGGGGCTGTACCTTAAAACCAGTGTGCCTCTGGCTCCATATTCCTGCCTCTTCTGCTGTTCCATTGATCCCCAGCAGCAAAGTAGTGAGAGGCTTAAGACAGTGTACAAATTCAATATCAATAATTTATTGGGAAGATGGGTTAAGTGTACAAGTTGCTGAGGTACTTCTGGTAAGCAAACTCAGAGTTACTGGGTTTGGATTGGCTGCTAACTGAGAAAGTTGAGCAGATCTAACAAAACTCTAAAGAAAATGCTTGACTTTTTTTCTTTATTTGATTTTTGTTAAGCAATTGTGTCTGGACAAAAAGACCTCCAGAAGTCTTGTGCAGCCTCCACTGCTCTGTGGCTGATTCAGGGCTCAGCAGGGAGCAGAAAACAAACGATCCCCAATAAAGAGAGATACTGTGTTATTTCCATGGACACATCTGTTCTGACCATGAGTGGGTGTTTGTAGGCACTGCCTTCACTCACTCATGATGAAAGCAGCAGAGCACTGTGCATGTTCTGTAGCAGAGAGAAGTGGAAATCCCATATTCTCAGTTTGTGATAGCATGGCGCTATTGTTTTAATTCAGATGGGGGAAAAAATCTTCACTACCTTGATTCCTCTTTATTTGTTTCTTCTCATTCTTTTTCTAAGATACAAATGTGGGAATCACCCCGGATGTGGTTGCTGCTGGTGCTCCCCTGGGAACATGCCTTGATAGGGAATTAACACCAGTCAGTGATGGGCTGTGGGACCAGCAAAGTGCTTCCCGAGCCCCCCAAGGATGTGCAGCTAGACCTGGTTAAAAAAGTGGAACCTTACACGGGCCACAGCGACATCTACAAGCATTTCATCAAAGATGACTGCAGGGCTGTCATCAAAGCTGGCTCTCCCTCCCCTCCCCACCACACCAACCCCTGTCCCGGGAGCGCCCCGCCCGCCCAGCAGCCCGAGCCCCGCAAGAACAAAGTGGCCAAGTACCGCGCCAAGTTCGACCCGCGCGTGACGGCCAAGTACGACATCAAAGCGCTGATCGGCAGGGGCAGCTTCAGCCGCGTGGTGCGCGTGGAGCACAAGGCCACCAAGCAGCCCTACGCCATCAAGATGATCGAGACCAAGTACCGCGAGGGGCGCGAGGTGTGCGAGTCGGAGCTGAGCGTGCTGCGCCGCGTGCGCCACACCAACATCATCCAGCTCATCGAGGTCTTCGAGACGCAGGACCGCGTGTACATGGTCATGGAGCTGGCCACCGGTGGAGAGCTCTTCGACCGCATCATCGCCAAGGGCTCCTTCACCGAGCGGGACGCCACGCGCGTGCTGCAGATGGTGCTGGACGGGGTCAGGTACCTGCACACGCTGGGCATCACCCACCGCGACCTGAAGCCCGAGAACCTGCTCTACTACCACCCGGGCACCGACTCCAAGATCATGATCACCGACTTCGGGCTGGCCAGCGCGCGCAAGAAGGGGGACGACTGCCTGATGAAAACCACGTGCGGCACCCCAGAGTACATCGCCCCCGAGATCCTGGTCAGGAAGCCCTACACGAACTCGGTGGACATGTGGGCGCTGGGGGTCATCTCCTACATCCTCCTCAGCGGCACGATGCCCTTCGAGGACGACAACCGCACCCGCCTGTACCGGCAGATCCTGAAGGGGAAGTACAGTTACTCAGGCGAGGTGAGTGAGGTGGGGGCAGTCAGGCAAGAAGCTCTGTTTTGTGGAAGCAAACAAACTGTGCAACTTTGTGAAAGTTGTATGTTTGTTACACCGCTGGACACACGTGGAGATTACTCTCTTTAAAAGACATGCGTACTTCTGGGACCTCTAGGTCTTTTTTTATCCCCCTCTCAAATCCATATGCATGCAATTTCACAATAGGTTCATGCATATTCATTTTTACAGATTTCTATAATAGGTTCATACATATTCATTTTTACAGATTTCCACTAATTCTTTATTAGAAAGAATTCTTAGGTCAAATTGACCTGCTCTTGTAGCACTCTCTGTTTCTCTCTCTGCCCCCCTCCCTTATTTCTGTCCTTCAGCTGAAGCAGTTTCTCCCAGTATAGGCTTTTTACGAGAACAGGCAGTCAGACTAAACAGCTATGTTTTAAAACTACAGACTTAACTCAAAGATGTACATTTCACTTAAATCAAAATGGATTTCTACTCTGGAAAATTTCTACTTTGTCTCAGCTCTCTCTAGGTGTGTCTCTGTGATGACCAAAAACTGGTTGTCTTGTAGGTGGTAACATTACCAGGGGTAAAAAAATTTGTGATTCTGGCTTTTAAAATCCTTTCCCATGTTCTGTCTGCTCCCAGTGCAGCATAGTGAGCTCCTTTAAAAAAATGTGTGCACAGAAAGAGGAAACTTGGTGTAGACCAGAACTGGGATGCTTGTGGGTTTCTAGCTGCTGTTAGAGGCTTTGCAGTTAAAACTTGTGCCAGGGTGTTTGAAATGTGGCACATGTATCACTAGTCTGATTCCTGACACGAATCCAAGTGTAGTATGGAAAATAGCTTTGCTGAAAGGTTATGACAGGCAAGGGGCACTTACTTCTTCCATCTGGAGATGGGATTATTTCAGAAATTGATCTGCATTGCTTCCTGAGCTTGGTATGTGAGAAAATGGAGGATTGAAGGATAGTTTTCATGGGTAAGTATGGACAGAAGAGTCTTGGGGGATAATTTTTAGGAATTCTGTAAATGATAGTAGGACCTGAAGGTGCTTCTTGCGCTTCAGAAGAAACAATTTGAAGTAAACACTTGTAAGTAACATCTTCACACTTCTGATCAGAACCCTGTTGATATTAGGAGTGAGTGTTGCTATTGTCATATCCTTGCCATGCCATGCCCTTGACTATTGAGTGCAGGTCTGTGTTCTCTGGATAAAAATACAGAGCTGAAAATCTTGTGTAGAAAGGCTGTGTGAATAACCAAAGGCATGGCCTGGCTTCTGTTGAAGAATGAGTGAACAGACTAGGGCCTTTCCTCCAAAAAAAATTAACATTTGAAGGGGGTCTGATCAAGCTCAGTGCAGCCATAGGCAATCTGGAGAGAGTGAATTGAGTGTTTTGAAGGTTCCCTGGGGTAATTTACTTTGATGTCCACTGGTCCTTGTACCAGAACAGATTGGTTTTGAGAAATATTGTGAATTGCAACTAGGCCACTGAGGCCTTGTTGGTTGTATGCAGAGGTAGCAATGTGCCACAGAGAAAGCATTAAGCTCTCTATTTTGAAAGTGTCAATGCACAAGCCTGAGGCATTGACTTGTTATGCCACCACAAATTGCACACTTTAGGAGGCTGTTATGGATACTGTGTGTGACATGAGTGGTTATTTTGGAAAGCTGTCGATGCTTTACCGCTTGGAAAGCAAATATGTGTCAGCCAGCAGCCTGTATCTGTTGCCTGGGTGCTTTCTGCTCCTCTAGAGCCAGGGAAAATGGATGCTTTAATTTACCAGTGTAATTAAGCCTATGCCCCTAAATTGCACAGTGCTTGAGTGCAGGCAGGTATTGGCAGGAGGTGCAGTAAAGAGGCTGCTCATTTTGTGAATAATTTCCAGGAGAAGACAAAGTGAGCCAGAGGTTTAAAGCTGTCTGTTGTGTTTCCCACAATCTTGCCAGCACTCTGGGTTTTTAAATGCTTCTGAATTTTTGGTGTTCACAGGCAATGGCTCTTCTTTCTTTGTGTTACACTGGAGGAAGTGGGAAGATGTCAGAAATGAGGTTATTGATAAGTTTGTCAGACTAATGGGAATGGCAGGAGCCAAGTCCTGGTTTCTTTGGAGTAGGAGTGGGCAGAATACTCGAGTGCATTACCAACAGCATCTGTCTTGGATGGATGCAGGAGCAGAGGTTTCCTGGGAGCAACTGCTTTTCTTCTCTGTAATCTGAAGGTTGAGGATCTAAAACAGAAGAGGAAATATTGAAAGAAGCCTGTGAACTACAGAGCTGACAGCTTGAGCTGTGTGGCTCAGGCAAGTTCCAGTGTGGAAGGAGGGAGCTGTCTTCAGGCTGTACCGTGGCAGGCAGCAGCAGTGCCCTGAGTCTCCGTGCTTTTTGAAAAGTCTGACCCCAAAACCTGGTCACAGAGGACAAAGCTGTATTGAAAGAGGAACAAAAGCCAAGAGGCATGCTGACCTGAGAAGCAGCTCCATTTTCTTGGAAAAACAAGTGATCCCTAGTCCAGCTAATGTAATTGCTTTCTGGCTGGGACCCTGTTACCCCGGCTGCTGTTCCTGGAGTGTGAGGTCTGTTTGAAGAGGCCATTAGCAGATCAGTAGGAGAGGTCTCCCACAATAGGTTATTCAGGTACTGCTGACATCACTGCTCTGATTATCTCTTATATCTCCTCCACTTTTTGAGCTGCTTCTGGTAATGGCTAGGATGGGGAAGGAAGGACAACTGGCTTTGTAACTGGCGTGCTTTTTTTTCCTGAGCATCCTGAGTAAGGGTTAGGTGAGCTATTGACACTGCTTTGAATGTAGCCTGCTGCAGAATTATTCTTTTTCACTTGTTTTGTTGGAACTTACTAAAAAGAATGTTTGGACATAATGATTTCATTTAATTTTTAATTGAAATCTTGGAGTTAAAACTGATTTTTGGGAGCTCTTTGTACCTTAAAAAGTTGATTGAGGAATAAAGCTGGAATTTCATTCTTAGTTTCCTTTGAATTTGCAAGTGCAGAATTGAAGATTGGACCATCATTATCCTGCTGGGACAGGCTTGCTCTGATTCTTTTTCAAAGCTTCTCCTTCTGTTGAATACCAATACTTTTATGTTACTTTACACACCTGGGAAAATCAATGGAATAAGTGGAAGATAATGTATGCTATGGTTAAATTGGGAAACTTAGCTAAGGTGTATGGATTGTTCTGATTTTGATATCTGATCTGGACATACCATTTCTCTCATGGGCTGTTCTCCTATTCATAGAACAGAATCAGCTTTTTGTGGTATGCTCACAGTGGGTGAGGTTGGTGTGTGCTGCTGTGGGAACGTGTCTTAATCAAATAACCAAAAAAGTTTGTTCCAAATTATGGTGCTAGTGGATGCATTGATAGGAGAGACATGCTTGATATATGGATGAAGTTGGGCATTGCAAGTCTGCAGGAGCTCTGCAAGAGACTTAGCAGCCTGTGGAGAGATGAACTGGTTTTGTGTGGCTTAGATTTTCCAGTGGTTTTTGGTAGAAATCCTCACCAAAATCTCTTGAAGGAGCATTGCAGCCATATTGTGACAGTGGCCTTTGCATGGATCAGGAATTTGCTGATAAGCACAGATGTGAAATACGTGGTCAGTTCCATAGGGAGGGACAAAACCAGTGAAGATTGAAGGGGCTGTTGCCAGCAGGAGAAAGTTCCCTAAATCTGCAGAGTCCCTGATGGTACAGGCTATTCACAGAGTGAAAACAAGGGCTGTGGACCTTGCAAGTTTACCTGAGTTTGAAGAGCAACTGGACAAATTTATGGAAGGCACATTGATGGAGAGAATGAACAAAGGTCAGAGGAGAAGCCTGACTTGCAAACTGTGTGTGAATTGCATTTCTACTTTTCTCTCCTTGAGCATTCAGAATCTTAATGATGTTCTGCCCTAACTTGGAGTTTAAAGCACCAAGTTAAATGCAGGTGTTGAGTAAGCTCTGCAGATCCTTTATGGATAGATTCATGCTGGAAGAATGCCCTTAGTTACAGGAAAACCAAGTTACTCTGGATGAGTAGCATGAATGGTGTTCCCATAACAACTCAGCCTGTGTGAGTAAAAAGATAAACCACTTTCTCCCCAAGCAGCTTTTCTTGCCTGCAGCTAATAGCAGAAGCATGAAGCACAGAGAGTGCAGGCAGTGCATTAGCAAACAAACTACCTGTGCTACCTGGCAGAAAACAAGATAAAAATAAAGCCATTCCAAGGCAGCTGATGCGTGCTCACAGGATGAGTCCTTACCCAAGCACGTCTGCAGAGCATTTCCTCGTAATTGTCCTCATTGTGGGGGCTGCTTTAAAGGCTGTGGAGGACTTGTAATCCCTCAAATCCCTTGTGACACATAGTGGAGGAGACAGGTGACAGCCTTGTCAAATTTCAGTATTAATTTCCTGCATTTATTCAACATTTTGAGAGAGAAGGGGTAGAACTTGAAACCAGACTGTTTCTGACTCAGCTGGGAGCTGGTTGCTGAATTGCCCATCCCACCCCAGAGGGACTGATCAGTCACTGCATTATGAATTATGATGACTGTGGTTGGATTTCCTATCAAATGACAAGCTTAATATAAAAAAAGCACAAGCAACAAAGAGAAACTGTAATTATTCTTGGTAACCTCCTCCCCCTAAAAGTTGCAGATGGAAGTGTGTAGTGGCAACTCAACTTTCTGTTCTGCATACTTGTATTTTACTGTAGAGACTGGTCTCCTGTAAGGGAAAAAAAGTTCACTTGCATATCAGAGAAAATCTCTCCATAATCCTTCTCACCTTCAGGAGAATTCAGTCAGTATAGGACAAGGATTCTGAAACTTTGGATGAGGTTTTGCAATGCAATAAGTTTTGCATTGATGCTGTGGCAGGTCTGGCTGGCTGGCTTTCCCTGAAAGAGGGAAAACTCTGGTGATCTTCTTGCAGCACATCTGTTTAAGGTGGGCAGTAAGGCAGACTGCCTTCCCTGAATTTGGGCTGGAGTA